CAACAAAATCAGCTTTATAGAACGTTGTTTATGTATAAATGTCGTAACATACTACTTTATAGTGTGGGTCCCTTGTAAATAAAAACTAGTACCTGCATAAGCCTTCTGCATAAGGATTGGCTAAAAAGTGAATTTGGATAAGAAAATGGCTAAAAAGTAAAACCCTATTTGCTGAGTGGCTATTTCTGTCAATTTCCCTAGAAACAAGTGTCTATAAAAAAGACTTGTTCATAGTACAGTTCTCAAAAGTGTCACGTAAAAAAGCTAATAAGACACTTTATTTCAAAAGTATAACTTACCGTTTTTAAACTTAGGTTCTATAAAGGAGTCTATTAGGACATTTAGACATATTTGACGTTTTATAAAGCCGATTTTATTGTAATGAGCAAAGCGTTTGAGGACCGAATGGTTGATATATAATGAACTCGGCAAGGTTTTCGTCATCTAGAATTAGAAAAATGAAAAAGAAAAACTAGTACCTGGTGGGGAAATCGTGTCGGTTTTTGCTTGAATTTGCTCCTTTCTCGAGATTTTTTCGTATGTTCTTGGTGATTGATGCTTTCTCTCGGGAACTCTCTCTTCTGCCGGTGATTTGCTCTCGACGTTGTCTGTAAATACAAACCCGACCTTTCAAGAATACATAAAGGATAGACGCAGGCATTACGCGTGGCTAGAAGAGCCCGAGCTAAGAAATTGATAACGTCCCTAGACGAGAAATGTTCTAACAAGAATAGACCCTACGACAAAACCGCCTTTATAGTACGCCAAATACGTATAAATTCCCAAATAAACCGTTTTATAAGACTTAAGTTTGTAAGACCACACAATTCTACGTCCTATGTAAAGGTGTTAAAATAAGTTGATAGGATGCTTTGGGGCGTCCTAACAGCTTTACTTCAAAAGGGTCCTAAAAAGTCGTTAGGATGTCCAAAAAGCGTCTCATCAAGTTACCGTAATACCTACAAACTTAAGCTCTATAAAACAGTCTATTAGGATATTTAGACATATTTGGCATCGTATAAAGCTGATTTTGTTGTAGCGAGAGATAGCCAACACAACCAAGGACCCACAACGGGTCATGCGGCTAAAGAGACCCCATGTCCAACATTGAGGACCGGTTACAACCGGTATGGGTCAGGACTCAGGACCAGACCGGTTCATGGACCACTGAACTCGATTACGTTTTCTTTCTTAGAAAGCATGGAAACTTACTCTCATTAGGAGGCTTCCCATAGTTCTGCCTTAAAGCTTCAAAGAAAGCACCATCTCTTTGCTCTTGTGTCACTGTTAAAAAAAAATCCAAACTTTATATGGAGATCAAGAAATTATGGGTTGTGGGCTAAAATTTCAAACTAATCTTTAGTTATCGGGGGCCAAAACCGATCACTACCATGGGCAAAACAGTCATTTCACACTGAGAACGGTCTAATATAGGCTGCCTATAATAGGCATGTACTTCCTCCAGCCCAGAAACAAACGTCCACAATGAAAAAAGACAGTTTTAGAAATGTGTAATTATTGCACTTTTTAATCAACCAAAATGACAATTTTACCCTCACTAACAGAGAAGGTAATGAATTTTTTCATTTCATGATCAAAGGTCTCTAGTTATCCGGGGACAAAGCTGATCACTACCATGGGCAAAACAGTCATTTCACACTAGGAACGGTCTAATATAGACATGTACTTCCTCTGTCCCAAATTAAATGGCCACAATGAAAAAGACACGATTTTAGAAATGTTTAATTATTACACTTTTCATTTAAAATGACAATTATACCCTTAATAACAGAGAAAGTAATGACTTCCTCATTTCATTATCAAGGGCATAATTGAAAATACGAACAATTATTTTAAGACAAACTAAAATAGAAACGTGGACACTTATTTTGGGACGGAGGGAGTAACATTTATGGGAAACATAGCAGTTATTTTGCGACAATGCGATGATGAAGATAAGAAGCATACGTTGATCATACAAACTATTTCCGTAGTTCGGCGCAGAACCAACCGAAAGCAATCGTGCAGCCTCGGTATCTTTAGTTGTAGCCGTGTTCAAATTTTGCGTGTCTAATAAAATACCCGCAAGCTGATTTACAAAAACGTAATAAATTAAGCACTAGAGCGAGCGTAATTCATCACTGAAAGCACATTTCAAAGAACAATAAGTGGGTGATTGACTTGTTGACCATCGTATACACCATTTTGTCTGAACGGATCATCGTTCTAGCGAAAAATGTGGTGCCCTATTAGATTACTCTCCAAAAGTACCCTTAAAGAGAGATATCTAACGAGGTTCTCCATATTTTCACATGGTATCAGAGCCAAGGTCTACCACTCGATGTACTCGACACTCTGTGGCAATCTGTGCTCATCAAAAAAACATAACCTTTTTAGTAAGAATGAGCGTTTTTGGACAAACGTTTCAAGTATGATCGCCTTTTTTGCATCCATAATCCCACAATTTGTTTACAAACATTTGTTCTTAAAAACGATAACATCCTTTTGGTATCTCCTCAAGAGAGAGAATTAATGTGCGATGAAAAACCGTGTATGATAGTTCAAAAAGTCAACGACTCGATATGAAAGAAACGTAGCCTAAAGAAATTCGGTTATTTACCATAAGTTTCTTCAAAATGGGGTTTTGAAGCAGATCGTATGCATCCTCGCAGTAATTATCCGTAAGAATAGTGCACTTCGATCCAACCTATTCAAGAAAACCAAAAGTTTCTTGACCCCGAGATCTTGAGCTATGTAAAACGCGTGCAGCAATCAAGACATAATAAGATGATGGAAACTATTAACAACGGTAACGAGATAAAATTTGGTTATCGGTAACCGATGTCGGCTCTTTGCCACCTGGGGCTGTAGTATGTTCCAAGGGTTGGGTTGTTCGCCTATTAAAGTGGTACGTGAGTTGGGTTAAGAACGTGCTTTAAAATATGCATCGAGTCCCAAAACACGTCTTAAAAGCACAATTTTAGATACTATAGAGCAACTAGTGAGGGGGCGGTTCCTACATATATACAAGTTTAATGGATCATGTCTAGCTGATGTGAGACTCCAACATGTCCCCTTAAACAGAGTCCCTAGGTGATGCCAGAAACCAGCTCTGATACCATGTTAGGCTATGTGGAACCCCATTGAATCTCTTTATAGCCCTTATAGAATGGGGAAAGCCCCTATATATATATAAGGTTGGATTCCGTGAGAATGAAAATTATGGTGAGAAGTGTAAGAAGGGATCACCCTTCGATCAATCCTAATTAGATCAACACTAATGCGGTGCACTGAGATGCACCGGATCAATTCTCGTAATAAGCGCAATTCATGGGTGGGGGGAGATTAAAAGTGATCAAGAGTCCAGATCCCTTCTTACGCTTCTCACCTTAACTCGTATTCTCACACGATGCTTCATATATATATATATCTATACTATATTATAAAGCATTTGGCTAAAACTCTTAAAAACTCTTAAACTCTTAAAACTCTTAAACCCGTTCATCCCTAAACAATTTCATCCATATACGATTTCATCTCATAACTGAATTCGTGTAACTAACTGCAGATAAATACAATCAAATACAGGATAAACATCTCATTTTAAATATAAA